CCCCCCAAAAAAAAAAAAAAAAGCAAGCAAAAAAGAGAGCTCTGTAGTTGTAGTTGAGCTTGTGCAGCAAGGTACCTCACTGATTTCAAAAATGAAAGCTGGAAACACATTGCAATGTGGAAATGTTAATATAATGAAGCTCAGTGTGAAATTGTGTGGGCAGGAGAGATGGAGAGGTGGTATTCCTTTTCATTTTGATGTTGTTTAATTTTGGCTTGTCTGAATGCGTGATTGGAATACGTGTCCAGGGTCTACTTTTTCTGTTGGGGCTGCAAACGAAGGTTCTTCTTCATGTGTTGTGCTGAGTCTGCCTACATTCTCATGCGCAGGGTCTTTGGCTGATGAGTCATCTGTTCTGTGGTCCTAGCAGGATGCAGACCTTTTGGCCATGACACAGAAAGCACATTTCTCAATTCTACTGCTGGGAATGGTGTCCTTCATTACCAATTCAAGCTGTTCTTTTAACTCTTTGTTCTGCTGTTCCTTCCAGTGCATACACGCACACATCGTACTGCAGTCAAGGCAATCGTAATATTTTTATTGTTAAAATAAATAATAATGTAATCATTTTATAATGTAATCCTAATTAAATTATTAGATTATAATATAATAAGATTTTGTTGTTAAAATTCTTGGTAACAGTAACCTTCAAAATTAAAACTGGAAAGTAAATCTTAAAGGCGTAAAAAAGAAAAAGTCTAGAGCTTTGTGGCAGGCTGCTCAGACTGACTGCTAACAGTATCAGTTTAAAACGAAAAATGTATTTGCTGGGGAGAAGTTGAATACCTATATTTCCCACTTCTCTAGGGCTGGCCTGCTCAGTAAAAAGTTTTGAAGCTTTTCTGTACTTGCCTACTGTGATATCATTCTGCGCCTTTTTATTCCAGACTTGCCATCTGGTTTACTTATTCAGTTGTTCTGCAAGTACTGGATGCATTCTTCTTTCTGGAACTGTTTCGAGATTGACTTGTTCTTTTCCCTAATGAAAGCATTCCTTTGCTCTTGAGTAATTTTCCTGCAAGCTGCAGCATCTTCAAGGCATTCCATCTATATGTTGTACCTCACAAGAAATATTTGCTCTGTGTACAGCTAGCTTGTATTAATAATAGAGGTGACAGGCATGACTCCCTCTAATACTGTACTCTGCTGAAGTCAACTGTGCAGTCTGCCAGGAGATGGGAGATTCTCTAATGTTTTTCTTTGTTTTTCTCCCTTTCCCTGTTTGCAGGTTATCCTAACATTTGTCTGTGTGCTGATGGATGAATCAGAGGGAATTGCTCCAGTGCCATATATGCTGCAACTCCGTCGGGTAACTTTGGATGGAAGATATCCCTTTAACATCTTGAGGAGAGAAAAGAGGCAAGTGCGGTGTCAGCTTGGACAATACCTACATCCCAAAGGGACCCACTGCTGCATGAGGTGCCATGCAGGTACAGTACAGTAGAATAAGTGCATTACTCTTCACCTCAGTTGCATTCCCTTGTCCTGTGCTCTCAAGCTATCTTGTCCTCTAGCTACATCAGTGCTCCATTTCCTTGGTTGGAATTCTTTCTCCCTGCCTCTTCTCTTGGACTGTCAGTCTCCTCCATGCTTGTGAGAAGCAGCATGCTCAGTCCTTTCTGTGTTGACTCCAGGGTTTCTTTGAGGATTCAGTGACTCCAATTCTCCGTAAGACAACATGTATATCTTCCTGTCAGATCTCTCTTAAGCTGTTTTTGTTGCAGGTACCTACAAGTCAAAAGACTGTAAATGGCCTGACCAGGCCCCTGTCTGTCTTCCCTGTCCTAATGGCACGTTCACAGCTGTTGACAACATCATGAAAAAATGCTTCCAGTGTACACGGTGCCGTGCAGGTGAGTTATCTGTGGGTCCTGAGAAACATGGGTGGTGTTAGTAGGTGAGGGTCTGGAGGGGATGGCAAGATGAGTGAGCAAGCCTGGAAAAAAAGTGACTGAGTGGGTACAGGGACAGCGTAGGGGAAGGGATTCAGGGACAACAGGGATAAGACTTGCAAAGTTACTACAGTCTGAGATGCTCTTTGCAGCCTTTGTTTTTTTTTTTTTTTTTTTCTTTTTTTTTTTTTCCCTGTCTGTAGATTAGGGGCTAATAACACCTGTTGTCTTAACAATGGTCTGAGCTGAAGGTGGGGTTGGTACAGTCACTTATCATTCTTTTCCTCAGAATTGCAGCAGATAGAAGAGACCCCATGCACCCTAAAGCAGGATACTGTGTGTGGCTGTCGGAAGAATCAATATCAGTTTGGCCAGGCTGATTTCTTCCAGTGCAAGAACTGCAGCCCATGTGTTAATGGAGTTATTGCCAACTGTGAGTATAGCATGGGTATGGTACAGATGCCATTAAGATAGATGCTAGCATCCTTCTCCTTGCTTGCTAACGTGCTGCAGCAGCTTGCCTTTAAGTGATCATCCTTCTCCTTGCTTGCTAACGTGCTGCAGCAGCTTGCCTTTAAGTGATCATAGCTTTGGGACAACTCTGTCTTGCTTGCCTGCTTTCCTGAGGAAGACTGTCATTTTTTGCCTGCCTTGGAATCAGTTCCTGTTTTCTGTCACGGGCTATACCTTAATGTGTGTTTTCTTGTGTTGACTATTATGATATATTTGCTACTTAATTTCAGTAGCTCTGCCTTCCTTGCATGTACTGAACTAAGATCTTTATGTTTGAATGCCAATTTCCTACTTGCTTTCCTCTTTTTGTCTTTCCTTGGATATTTCTCCTTATGCTCATTGCATTTCCCTTACTAACTGCTCTACACACTGTAGGTATAAACACTGAAAATGCCACTGTTGTCAGTGTCCAGTTGAATTGCTCATCAGTTGAATGCTGAACCATCACAGTATACCGTGCAGCATCTTAATGTAATACTGAAGTATACCAAGTGCATTTCATTGCCATCACTGGGATGTGGGGATGGTGCAGATGTCTGAAAGAACTAGCCATGTTAGCTATCCCAACCTGTCTCCTTTCTAGTGGGGGATTAGAGATGTTAACCCCATTCTGTTTGCCACCCTCCAGTTTGTCCTGAAGTCTAATTCTGCTCACATCCCTTAAATGCTCCTTACCTCGCTGTCCTAAAGCAATCCCTCTTCCTCATAAATTCTGCTTTTCCTGTCCCCTTCAATGTGATTTTTTTGGTCTCTTTTTAAATGCATTCCCTGTGGAGTTTAATGAACTCGCTTACAGTTTGTGTGCTTACACCTGCTCTCAAGGGTCATCATCATACACTGTCCTTGAGTGACTTCATTCCCTTGTCTGATCTTTGTCATGTCCCTCACATGTAACAGAATGTATGCTGCTTATTCTAGCGCCTTTTTACCTCTCTTCTTTTAACTTTGCCTTTTCTTCACTACTCTTGCCTGTTTTTTTTTTTTTTTTGTTGTTAATTTCAGCACCTGTGCTGTGGCTTGCTTAAAAGCAATAACTTTTCAATTTCTCACCCTTCATAATCACAGAACAACAGATCACAAGCGTGAATATGTGTGTCCTATGGCTTGAAGTGATTTCTCCCTGCTGTGGACTGACTTCCTCAGCAGTCCCAGCTGCTCAGAGACCACTTCTTCCTTATTTTTGCCTAATGCAATTTCCCCTTCCTGTCACACTTGAACTGGAGTGACTTTCCCCATTCTGCATTGCAACAATTCTTATCCATCAGACCCAGCTCAGAATCTCAGATGCAGTCTTTTCTTTTTTTTTTTTTTCCTTTTCCCAACCTCAACAGAGGTGTCTGACCTACCAGAACAGTGATGCCCTCACCTTTATTGTTATTTTCTTCTTCCCCTGCCCCAAGTAAACTGAGTCTTCTTTCTCCAGTAACAGTTCTTCAGGCTCAAAGAGGAATAATCTCTCACCTCTCTTGGGATGAATTTTTCTCCTTTTGGTTTCTTTGTTGTCCAGATTTTGCCAAGACTTTCTTCTTTTCTCTGCAGGTTCAAAGGACAGAGATGCAATTTGCAGGTGTAAGCCTATGTTCTTCCTGACACTTAATAACGTTTGCAAGCATTGCAACAGGTAGGCTTTTTTCTTTTTCTCTGTGTGACTGTCAAATAGGAGAGAGAGCTGATTCAAGCTCTACAAGGGGAGGAAATTTTTCTCAAGGTTCTGTCCATCTTGAGTTTACATGACTCTGGCTTTTCAGGGCAATTAGTATTGTCCTCCATTCCAGTCCTCTCCATGTAGTCATTGTGGAGAACCACTGAGGACCACAGTCAGTAAACACACTACATTGCTTTGCTTTGCAGGCTCCTCTGGACTCATTCTAGGGTTGCTGCAAATGTCTGGTGTTGCATGCTCACATCTCTGATTTACTCTTTCAGCTGCATTGGAGAAGAATGCTTGCAGTGCAATAGCCCAGTGACTACCTCTCCGAATTCATCTGAGCTGAGTGAGTACTGGGGGAACCTCAGGCACAATGGAATCTTTTCAGTGTGAACTTTTGTTTTCTTAACATTACCTGTCATCCCCTTGCTCTCTTTACTGTTTCAAATCATTATTCTTTTTCTCACTACCATTTGCATGCGCTCCCTTGCTCTTCTTTCTGGAGTACTTAAGTACTTACCTGTTCCTTTCTCAGTCACACACTCATTTGCCCTCTCCCTTTTGTCCAGATGGGAACCTTATTCTTGGCATCATTGTGGCGATAATTGTAGTTATCTGTGTCCTCTACATTGTAAATAAAGCAGTGAAGCTGGTTCAGAAAAATGGGATAGCTTCTTCTTTCTACTCCTGTGGTGAGTATAGCAGCATATGCTGTGATACTAATTGTGATAGACATCACTCAGATGTGTGAATGTATGCATGCACACGTGTGTGAGGAAGACAGTGGGATCCATTACTCTGCTCTGATACAAGGCCAGAAGGAACATGAAAACTCAACAGCCAAGCTTGCTGGTATGCTTCCTGCAGCTCTGCTTCTGTGTTGTGACTGGAAGTGCATGTGAGCTCATTTCTGGCAGATGACAGTTTGCTATAAAAACCTTTTGAGGTCAGGATTGTGAATAGCTGCTTTCCTGTTTTCTCTGGGAAGAGAGGAAGTGAAAATAATTTGTTTTCTTTCTTTTTCATTCAAGTATCTTTGCCACAGACAAGCAAGGAGCCTGTATCTGAGGTGAGCAAGATGGTGATTATAAGAGCTTCCCTTCCTCTTTCAACCATGTTAACCTGGGATCCAGAGTAAAATTGTTCCCCATGGGCTGTTTTCAAACCTTGTGTTTTCAAATAGGCTGAATAATAGGGCTGTTTAATTCAAAAGTCTTTCATTGTAGCGGGTGGAACCATTAAAATTTTACTTTCTTTTTGCTAGGAGGTGCTTTTCAAGTTCCTGACTTTTTTCTTTCTGGATGCATTGTTTTTTTCAGACAGCTAATCCTTAATCCCATTGTCTCCTTATATATTTTAAGATGAGAAAATTTAGATGGTTTTATTTCACTTCAGAACTTCAATCCATAAGCCTCTCAGTCCAGCTTTACAGTGTTTCCTCAGGTGCGTTGTTGATCAGCAGCAATCAAGAGCAATAGTCAAAGTCGGGTTCCCACAGTGTTACAAAGAGGGTTGATGAGAGAGGTGGCCTGTGGAACTTCTAGAATGGTGATGAGTTGGGATTCCAGGCTTTCTTCGAAGTTACCACTTTCTTGATGTTCAAAGAAGAATTAAATTCCTTGTGAAATAGACTTTTGATGCATTCTGCTTAAAAAAGAGATATAGGGAAAATTCAAACTTGGGCTGCTTCCCACCTATCTTTGCGACATTTTCTTTTATACAGCTGGTGATTCCTTGCAATGGGAGTACTGTGCTACTGTGGGTGATTGTGAACTGAGACATTGTCTCTTTCAGGTGGAGGTAAAAGGAAGTGCAATTGCTGTCCTTCCCGAGATCCAGAAAGAAAAAGAATTGCTAGTGAGTGCAACACCACCATCTGTACCTCTGCTACAAAGTTCACATGAGCTACCAGACTGCGTCAGACCTGCCAGGAAGAGGCAGCTTCCAGACAGTAAGTGTAACTCCGGTATCCCTCCCTAGGCAAATCAGGAGTTGATTATGCAGATATGGCTGGGAGGATGAGACCTTACCAGGTGTGCATGCCCTGTGTATGTGCATGCATACTTCCCTGTCGCCCATTTTTTGCAATCAGCAAAATGGATTGTCTCATATGCTGCCATAGTGTCAGTTTTAATGCCTTTTTTTTTTTTTTTTTAACAAAAATGTGGCAGCAAGGCCCTAAGCTTGAATGTTTAAGTCTGCTCGTAACCTTATAAATGCATATGGAAGTATCACATTGTTTTTTGAGGGTTAAGAGTGAGTCTGGACATCATGTGGGTCTATAGAAGACCTGAACAGGAGGGGGCAATGCACAGTCCTAAGACATGTTCCCCTTGAGGCTGCAGAACCCTGATTCTCATACTTTATTTCTTCTCTTCTTTCAGACCCTGCTATTCTGTACACTGTGGTGGATCATGTACCACCATCTCGGTGGAAAGAGTTTGTGAGGCGTCTGGGTCTGACTGACTATGATCTGGAGCGAATTGAGATGGAGCATCGACGTTTACGAGATGCCCAGTATGAAATGGTCAGACTCTGGAAACTGCAGATGGGCCATGCTGCTACTGTGGAGCACATCAGCTGCGTTCTCAACCAAATGGAGCTGAGTGGCTGCAGTGAAGCTATTCAAGAGGCTTTGTTAAACCAGAACTCTCATCAACCTTGCAGTTTCCACAGTGATCTTTGATCTTTCTCCTTGCTCTGACTTCTGAGAGAGGATCATAACTCCGTTTCTTGTCTTTCTTTTCCCATTCCCTCCTATCTTTCTATCCCTCCTTAAATGGGTTGTTGGAAGCAGCAGCAGCATATGCTGGACGTTTGCTCTGCAACCACCATGTTAGTTCAACTCCTTTTAAGCCAAGAGACACCTCTGCAACAACTCCTTTCCCAAAGAGGGAAAGCACCTCGCAAAGGAAGTGATACGTGTACTCTGATCAAGATGAAAACAGGAGCTCAGAGTGACGTGATACCTCAGCTACTCTGCAGACAAGTTGTTGCTAAAGCAGGTGCTTCACTCACCACATGACAGTCTAACTGGCTGTTCAAATGCTGAACTGGCTGTTCAAATGCTAAAATATTTACTCACTTTTTGCAGATCTATTTTTCTGCAATATCAGATACTTAAACTGGCTCACATTGCAGCCATTTGATTGCAAAATCTGACTCAAGGGAAGTTGTGAGAGGACATGCCTGCAACTGGCACATTACTTCTGGGAGCAGGAGAGGATTGCTCCCTTTTGGTATCAGCTACAAAGTGCTGTACCTTCAGCCTTCTTACTATGGCAGACATTGCAGAGATTTAGAAGGGGTGGCTCAGAGAAACAGGAGGGCATTATCCTTTTCACGCTCCCATTTCCCTCTGGTTCAAGAGGAATAAGGATTCTGAGCCAGCGGGTCAGATGAAGGGGTTGGTGCTTTTTCTAAAGTTTCTTTTGTGTGTAAAAACCATGTGAAACAGCATTAACAAAACGTGTGTATGTTTGTTCTAGTGCCGAGTGGAAAAGAATGCACGTGTCTGTGTGGGTGAGGAGGTACCTTTGTACCTGGCAGTGAGTGTCCCTGAATACCTGTGCTTGCACACAGGTTGGTAGGCTTGTGTCTGCTTGCCTGTCTCTCCCTGAATGATTCACTGAATCTGACCGAGCTGCAAATGGGACTGTGTATATGTACATATATATGAGACATTTTTTAGCAGCTGTTGGATAACTTCACACTACTTTCTGGACTCCATTATGTAAGTGCTACTTGGGTATAAGAGACGTCTAATTCCATCTACAAGCTCTCACCATCATTTTCTCATGGCTGTTATCCTGAGTGAAGCAGAAGTAGCAAAAAGCAATTAGCCTGCATCAGGTGCAGGTCCACATATTTGTGAATGTGGATTTTTAAAAATCTATTGTCCCTTGACTAAAGAGAACCTTTCTACTGTAAATACACTAAGTGCTCCAAATTAAAATTCATATTTTTAACTCTGCCTCCATTCTGCTTTTGTCCATATCAGCTTCACTTCTCTGGCTGTGGGTGGGGGCAGAAAGTGGAGAATGACTTCCAGAAGCAGAAAGGGTGGGTTGTACATGAGCTGGGCTGTTGCTCTGGTGAAAAAGGTTTGTGTTTAAAAAAAATAAAAAAATAAAAAAAAATTAGTCTTTTCTGTGTGAAGCTTAGCAGCTTAGGTGCCCTTAAGACACAGACAGCTGTGAGGGCAGGAACTAGGAATGAAAGCAAGTCATTTCAGACATTTGAGAGTCAACTGGGATGCCTACATAAAGTTCATTTTGGAACAATGTGCAAGCATTTGGAGGTTTAACAATGAAAAAATTATAAAAGAATACTAATAGATTATACTTCAATGTTACTCTTGCTGAGGCAAGTATTTATCCAAGTTATCCAAGGAACCAAAACACTATAATCAGACAGTAAGTTCCTCCTGTGTTGATGGGAAAAGTTGTGTAGAAATGAAATGTGCCCAAGCTGTTGAGAACACAGCTGGGAGCTGAAGCCTGCTTTAAGTCCCATTTTCAGCCTTTGTTTTGCCACTTTTTAAAATCAAAGCTCATCATAAAATCCTTGTTATGTTTCTTTCGAAATCTGTGTTCAACAAACAGCAGTATGATAATAACTAGAAGGGTGTACTCTTCATGTTATGGATGAAACGGGGAAACCAGGTATGCCAATGGCAGGCTGCTGCCAGGCCGTTGGGGGCTGCAGGCCCAAACTGATTATACAGAAAGCAATTCGCGGTGTTGAGAGGCTTCAGAGGATTTTAAAGATACCTTCAGAGTAACTAAGCCATTTTTGCACATTGTGGGTATAGTTGTGAGAAGCGAACGATAGAAATCAATGCATAGGAACTGAATGGCAAAGTTTTTCTACCATTAAATCAGGCATTCTTTATTAGCAGCACCAGGAAGCACTGGGGTATTTGCACCATAAGCCCTTCCAAGATGATGTGATTCTGAGTCCATTATATTTCCACAGGTAGTACATGTTCATCAGTTATCTGTGAGATAAATAACACATACATGCCTATCTCAGGTAGTGATTGATGAGGTTTCCAGTCTTCTAGGGCAACAAGGCTTGTGAAGGGCTTGGAAAATATGCCCTATGAGGAGAGACTGAAGGAACTGGGGCTGTTCAGTCTGGGGAAAAGGAAGCTGAGGAGAAACACTATTGCTCTCTTCAAGTGCCTGAAAGGTGATTGCAGCAAGAGCAGGGCTGGTCTCTTCTCACTGGTGACAGGTGACAGGACGAGGGGAAATGGCCTCAAGTTGCACCAGAGGAAGTTTAGGTTGGATATCAGGAAATAATTCTTTACAGAAAGGGTTGTTAAGCACTGTAATACGCTCCACAGGGAGGTGATTGAGTCACCATCCCTGGATGTGTTTAAAAACCATTTGGATGTGGTGCTCAGGGACATGATTTAGTGAAAGGTTGTTAGAGTTAGGGTGGTATGGTTAGGCTGCGGTTGGATTTGGTGATCTTGAAGGTCTTTTCCAACCTGCACAATTCTGTGATTCTATGTGTTGGAAATATCCAAATAATTTTCCAGGCTGGTATCTGTGATAAAGTAGATTTTATTTGCAATTGCAATGGCGGGCCTCCTGCAAACAGGAGCGCACACAGAAAACAGTGTTACATCTTTTATCCCCTATTGCCTGACGCTTATCTCTTTCTCCCCTGGTTCCTCACTGGCTGGGTGCTGCAGGTTCACACTCTTTTGCAATGCTTCACTAATCATGCAAATACCAAGTAAAACAAATCCTTGCCACCCAAACACAAATATTTTAATTGGTTAATTGCCTCCTAACAATTGCTTTCTTAAACATCTGGTCATAACTTTCAGATGCCTGCTTTACAACATAAATGTAACCTCTTAATTGTTTAATTAACCCCTAGCATTTGTGCCCTTTACACTGGCTCATTGTTCTAGTCATCCATCTGTCCTTGCATAGAGATAAGCTTGGAAGGAGGACAGAGGGGAGTATCTTGGAGCCTGCCTGTGGCATCCTAACATTCCCACAGAGTGGGACAGTTCTGCTTTGTGTAAAGGCCCTGACTCCTTGAAAGCTTGTTAAATGTATTTCACTTCTGCTGGCCTAACGAACAACCTTACAATATGTTTCCTAGTTCAGACTACTGTGCCCACATTGTTCAGAACGTGTGAAGTCTACTGCAGCTTTGTGAGAAAGAGTTTGTCGAGTAATTTGGTAACTATGTTTCTAAAATATGTTACTAATATGTATATGGTATTTCTACTTTTCACATCAGCTATTTCTAAGGATATGCTATAGCTTACTTCTTTAGATCAATTGCCCTTTTCAATATCCAATGCAGAAACATCTTCACTTTCCACACTATGATTCTATTCCATGGTCTCTTCTACCGTCTAGCGTCCTTTCAGCATCATGACAGTCCAGCAGACAGCCTTTTGCTTCAGCCAATGGTCTTCCTCGCCTGCCCTCCGGATGAGCTTTCATTGCTGCGCGCTCAGTGGAACGCCTATTAGAAGTAATTTATAGTAAATACTTCTTCCAATCAGAAGCAACTCCGATCTTGGACGGCCACCTTCAGGAAAATGGGATTTTTGCATGTTTGTGTGCACATTATTTAAAAAAAAAAAAAAAAAAAAAAAAAAGCCACCGTTATCCATCGAGCGTATCAAACCTCCGGGTTTTCCAACCCACCGCTCCGTCCCCTCGCAGCTCCCCCCGCCCTCCGCCTTTGGTACGTCCCGGCGGCCCGCGGTGCGTGCCGGGAGGCTCTGCGGTGGGGCCGCTGGGTGCGGGCGGCGGGCTGCTCCCGCCATGGCGCTCAACAAGTCGATGCACGCGCGCAACCGCTACAAGGACAAGCCGCCCGACTTCGCCTACCTGGCCGGCAAGTACCCCGAGTTCCGGCAGCACGTACAGACCACCCTGGCCGGCAGGGTGAGGTAGGCGGCCGCGGGGAGCGGGTTTCCGAGCTGCGCGCGTGTCGGGCCCCAACGCGACGTCTGTTTGTGTTTTCAGCCTGAACTTCAAGGACCCCGAGGCGGTGAGAGCTCTGACGTGTACCCTTCTGAAGGAGGATTTTGGACTCACCATTGACATCCCTCTGGAAAGGCTCATTCCGACCGTCCCCTTGAGGCTGAACTACATCCACTGGGTGGAGGATCTCATTGGCCATCAGGATGCTGACAAGCGAGTGCTTAGGCGGGGCATTGACATAGGTATTTACTGCGAGCTGTCTGTATAGCAAAGTGTTTAATTAGTCCGTTATTTACGGCTAATGAAGTGTTTTTGAGAAAACAAATGTGTGGGAAGTCGGTTGTATTTTTTTTTTCTCTGTCTTCTTTTAACTGATGAGTTATGTTAGCATTTTAGACACACACACTAGAGCTTATGAACTGCGTAGTAATTCTTTCTAGGGTTCCTTCACTAAGGTATTTTTTCTGTGTGTTGTGGTTTAACCCAGCAAGCAGCTGAATGCTGTTCAGCACTTTGCTCACTCCCCCCTGCAGTGGGATGGGGAGGAGAATTGGGGAAAAAATGGCAGAACTCTTAAGCTGAGATAAAAACGATTCACTGGGCCAGAAAAGGAAGATAGAGCAGTAATTCTGATTATAATTATTTATATATATATATACACACACACACACACACAAAACACATGACACACAGTTCAGTTGCTTACTACTCAACAACCAATGCCCTACCAGCCCCCAGCAGTGACGGACCCTCCTTTCCCCCCTTCCATTTGCCAGCTCCCCTCAATTTTATAGTTTATCTTCACATGAAGTCATATGGTATGGAATATCCCTTTGGCCAGGTTAGGTGGGCTCTCTTGGTTCTGTTCCCTCCCAGCTCCTTGTGCCTCCAACCTCCTCACAGGCAGGACAGTATGAGAAGCTGAGAAACTGAAACATCCTTGGCTCTGTACAGCACTGCTCAGCAACAGCTGAAACATTAGTGTGTTATCAAAACTGTTTTTCTCTTAAAGCCAAAGCACAGCATCATAGCAGACACTAGGAGGGCATTCTGTCCCACCTGAAATTCTGTGGTTTCAGGTGTGTGTGACAGATGATTGGTCTGTGTTTAAAAAAAACCAAAACACAACACAACAAAAACCTTAAATTATTATTTTCTTAGTTCTTTCACGATTTAAGTTTTAAAAGAGGCTTAATTAGGAACCGAGGAAGCTACTAGCATAGGCATCTGTTGATTGAAAATGATTTTCTGTAGAAAACAAGATATAGTTTAAATTGGACTGAACAGCCACGGGTGTATGATACCAGCCAGTGCATGTGTCTGAGAGCTTTGCTTGTCTTTATTATGAAAATGCTGCAGTTACTGACTTTCCTCAAAGTTTGGGTTCAGTAATCTCAGTTACTATGCAAATATTTGTCATGAATGTTTTCTAGCTTATTGTTATTTGTTGGTGTAATTTTTCAGTTCTTGCATTCTTGGCTTGGTTTCAAGTAGGCTGTGAAGATTTGTATCATCATGTGGCATGGGCACAGCTACTTTCATAACTTCAAAACTCGATAGCTGACTTCAACACAGTTGTCATTAGATAGGATTTTCAAAAACAATTCCCATGGACCTCTGGATATAAGTGTGCATGCTTTTCCTTGCTTACTGTTGTTGTTTTTTTATGTTTCAATAAATCCGTATAATAGTAGATGCCTGATAAATCTCTGATTTCTGGTTTTTAAAGTTTTTAGTAATTGGATCACCTGGATGTGCCATACGTTTTAAAAATAATCCTTTTGTGCTGCAGTGTATTTCAGTTCATTACCAAGTTTTTATCTGGTTACCTTTGTAGAGATCTTAACTGGCACCCCTGCTGTTCTTTTTTTTGTTTTTTTTTTTCTTTTTGTCAATAGGAAAAAAGTCTGTGATATCAGATTTCCTTTTTGTGTGTGAGTGGTTGCTGCGTGCATCAAAGTAAAATTACTCGTGATACTTGACAGAAGATAGAAAAATACAGA